TCCGACTCATATACATTTTAGCTGACTGTATTCTTTAAGGCATGGCAGAACTTGAAATCAATGACAGTATCACAGGGATGGAGGCTACATTCGCTTACCCAGTAAATATCTGCCAGTGCTACTGTTAGTTCGTGGTTCTAGAAGCATTTGATTCTACTTTAGCTAAAATGAGTTCAGACCGAAAAACTTTTTGTGACTGTTAACAAACTGATAGATTTAAAACTTTTTCAGCCGACCAATAATACTTTCTACACAATTATTTGCGTTTGAAACTTTGAACTAACCCTCAAAAGGTTGCATAACTGTTTTTTTAGGTATGCTAATTTTAGAATTTCTAATATCTTAAACACTTATTCTGTATAAGAAGAAATAACTGACATAAAATTAATTTTTTAACGAAAATGAACCTATTCCATCTTGTCGGGTAATTGCATCCATCATGATGCGTTCATTTGTAAAACTTGCTGGTAGAAACTTTTTTATCAGACATAATTTTAAACTGCCATTAGCTACATTTTTATAACAAACCATTTGGATTTCACGTGATAAAGTGGGGAGTAGAATTTGTGGATTCATTTCATCACAATAATATACACCGATGGGTAATGAGAATAACATTATTTATCAGAAAAAATCTACAAATGCAACAACATGCTGATTTAAAAATGTGAGAAACAGTCACTGTTAATTATACGAATTATGAAACACAAGTATTTTCAACAGGAGAGTAAAACTTAACAGAATTAAATTAATTTCAGAAGTATCGTACTAATGTTTGAAATAGACAAAACAAGCTACTGTTAAAATCTCGACTTCCTTAACAAAACACACAGCGAATGCAATCATTGGTGTTCATCCAACACTGATAGCAAATATTTCGAAATTCCTATGAATAAAATTCACTTGGCAATATCCATTCATGTTTTTGTTATAGAAACTAAAGCAGGATAACACCGATAACTTTTAACTCTTCATAATCTTGTTTTTATAACTTTTAATGAACGATTATTGACGGCGTTTTTGTAACATCACAAAATTTCAAAAATCTTTCATTTTTGCTTGGTTGCAATTCTGTAAAAAGTAAGGTAACACGAACCAGCTAAAAATATGAGAATGAATGAAACAATTGATAGTTTCACGTTATGAGAAAATCTGAAATTGGCAGTTCTTCAAGTAAACTAACCACGGTAAACAGGGTGCTCAGTTATTATTACAGATCTTATATATCCTTTGCTTCATAATTGTAGCCAGGCTACACACTATTTCTAATGGCACTTAGGCCATACGCTTTAGCCAAACAATCAGGATAACCAAGTGTGAAATCTTATCTTCCACATTAATGGGTTACTGGAGAAAAATGTTTTTAATGCCACCACTTTAGTTCCCAAAAGAATCCTCAAAGTGAATAACATCTATGAAATACATTTAGTACACAGATTAATTCAAATTTATTTTAAAAATGGTACACGTTTTGACTACGTACTTTTCTACAGCTGAAAACAATAGAATGTTAATAACAAGTGACTATTTTCCATATTGTCCATAAAATAGTCTAATAGCTTCGAGTTCCGAGAAGTAAAATGACTACTACTCCCTGGATGTTTGTCCTTAAATTCTTCACTAAGAGTGGTCTTAGTAGTTATTTCTTTTAATTATGTGGCTAACATTCCATTGTTCAGTGCTTTATCATTCTTATATTTCATCATACAGTTTAGATAAGGCCAATATTAGTGAAAAATAATCAATCACTAAGAGGTATCATGTGCTTGTGCAAAGCATTCATATCCTGTATTAAGTTAATGAATTTTTGATAACTAAAGGGAAATAAAATAGTGATCTGTTTTCTTTACTGGTCCTAGAATGTCAGCTGAACATTTATGAATGATAAGGAGATCTGGATGAACTCAGAATCTAGTGAGGTGACAGAAGAATTTTATACGGATCCCCGTTAAGCTGAGTAGTATATTGTAGCAAAACTTCAAGTAATGCTAAGTAGAGCTGATCTGTATCATAGCTAAAATTGCGGTGATGAAAATCAAAGTTTTAGTGAGAATTATTCTTTGTCATAACTAACACTTCTCTCAAGATAATCACATAGATGAATTTGGTTGCGAGAAGTTGACATACTAGTAATCTAGAGATGTTGGTTATCATTATCCAGAACCTAATGCCAAGCCGCAGCATAGAATGTAGTCAGCATCTGTTCAAATATGCTCTGCACTAGCTAACCAATTCTTTCAGAAGCTGTAGACATTGTCTACTGATAAATTTATAAGTAGTTAAAGTTTATGAGATGATTTTATTCTTTCACATGTACATAGTTTAGTCCGTCGAAACTATTTATTAATTTCAGTTGAAGTGTGTCATAGGCAATTAGTAAGGTAACAGGACATAAAAAGGGATAAGTCCTCACAACAGTCTCTCGATTTATATTTGATTTCAGAAGTAATTTCCCAGAATTTAATGAGATTAAAATCTTGAAAGTATTTTTCTCGGGAAGTGCACAAAACTAGTTATTCTTGAAGTAGAACCACTTCCACTTAACTGATATACTTTATGAATTGCAACCATAACCCAATGTCAAACTTCAGAAAAAGGAATTACGCATGTGACATGTAGAAAGACAGCAGCTCGAAGGGAATATCTTGTCACCCCATAATTCTGATTAGATTTTTGACGTTAAATTTTCAAATTGCTCCGTCTGATGTTACTGGCTTATGTGATACTTTAGTCCTTAATGGTATCCGACTTACTAAAATAAGAAATAAGTATAGAAATAATATGAAAGATGATTGGAAAAAGAAGTGATATCGGTGTGTAAGGATGTTTATAGCATAAAATAGAGCCTAATTTACAAAAATAACGGTTTGAGTTTCAATTGCAACGGTTAATTAATCCATAAAATTGATGGTCTTCTGCCTCATTTTCATTTGGCATTGGTTGCTGACCTTCATTGTTTCCGCAGGTCACTTTTGAATGAAGTGGAAGGTTAGGTAGGGATTCCACCTAGCGTGCAGCCCCGTTACTTTCAACTGTTTGAGCAATATCTCATGTCAGCTAAGCAGAATATATGGAAACGACTTCATGAATTCAAAAACGTAAATACTATATAACAAACGAAACACAGTAACAGAAAGTCATATATTGATCATATATTAAAAACTCCTTGGCCCAAATAATTCCGTACTAACGTCTTTGACTGCAGCGTTAGGTGAAACGGATTCGGATCTTTGGGGTAGTACCGATTACTTCGAGGTTTCAGATATTCCTTACCAGCGAGAGAGATTCAGAAGTAAACACCAACGACTTCAAAAGGATAAAACTATAAACTCAAAAGTTTCAACTCAAGAGATAACAGACATGACAAGGTTTCAACACCTGTTTTATTCATACTGCTCATATTTTTCAGTAAGAATATCCTTACATAAGTCCCAAAGAATAAAATTTTAATGGTATGGCCAGAAAAAAATTTTTATGATCATAACGTAAACGTTGTTCAGACTTCATTCTGAGTGTTTCCTTTACTGCTAGCAACAGGATTGTAAGTTGGCTGAATTTTATTTTGCATGCAAAAGATTTTTAATATTAACTTTATGCAGATTATGGAACGTAGAAAATGGGAATTCAGGTGAACACAGAGAAGATAGAGGTTACAAAGACAACCAACCAACAATCCATTTTCAAAATCGGAAGACGGGTTAGGTGAAGCAATAAAGAACTCTGGCAGTGGACCGACCCTCAACCTATCGCTCAACAACTATTCAGAAGGAAGTGGGAATACATTGGATAGGCACTAAGACAGTTGAACGATACCATACTCCAGGCAGAAAATCAAGCAGAACCTAAGTGGGAAACGAGAGACCAGTTGTGCTCCCGAAGGTGACATGGGGAGAACCCGTGTCCACGTAGAGGGGATTGAAAGTTTGTGGGTATATTAGTTAATCAGAAGTACTTTTGTACTCCGGCGAATTGTCTTTAAGATCATGAATGTTGTCACAATTATATTATTATAATTTGTTCTTCGCGTTTCCAGTGGAACGTAGGGTTTCACCAGCACATCTCCACTTTATTCTGTTCTCTGAGTCATTTCCCCTTAACTTCATGACTGTCTATACGCTTTCATTTCTTCTTCAGATTAACTCCTCCATATCACCCTCATGCAAGTTTTATCACGCTCTTTAATTTAGATTTTGATATTGGAGCTATGTGCGCTGGCCTAGATTTCAGCTACGGTGTTATTTCACGAAGAACATCTTCTTTTCTAATAATATGATATTGATGTTTTAAAGAAAATGATGTGTTTTATACCGTTTTGAGCAACTAAACAAAATACAGTTTGAAAATATACTTTTCGTGTTAACCGTCTTCAAAATTTATATATATATATATTTAATTTGAGTAGACTAAACATTTGTCAGTCGAGTAAGTAAGTCAATTTATTAAATCTAGAACGCTTCACTAACAATAATATCTGCGACTGGTTGAATACGATGTGGCCACCATAACTCAATTACCTAGTGAACAGTATTCTGGTAGCCTTCAAAGCTGAAATCAGTATCTGAAATCTTCAATCATCATTGTACCATGAAGCAACATTATTTACAATACCTTTTAGGTACAAAATAAGTATTAGGACGTAAAGAAATTTGAAACATAATCTTAAGTAGGTATATCTCTTTAAAAGTGGATATCGGTTGCTACAATTATAATGAATACAATCTGATTAAGTTAAAAGCATGCTGTAGAGGTATTATATACAAGCACAAACATAAACTTACACCAAAAGTGTACATGATTAGATGTTTTATGATTGTATCATATGACATCAATTAGCGAAGGTAAAGTGCAACGAAACAAAAATACTAAATTTGTCATTAAATGAGTGGTACAGAGAATACTGAAAGAAGATGAAGAAGAAATAATCACAAAACTAGGCACTCCTAGAAAAATTCATAAAATATCTCCCTCAGAAAAAAAGAACTCTATTTCACATTGGTCCTCTTTACTCTTCATTTAAATATTTTAATTTATATTTAGACATGGATAGGAAAGGAGAAAAAAATAACCATTAATGTAAGCAATAGTCAGTTATACTGTGCAGAAGATCACTGCTTTCTTTTATTCCTTTTCTTCCAGGATTTTATCTTTAAGTAAACAATTCACTTGGTTTTGTATATATTACTTTGTACTTATCAACCAATCATATGTAAATGGAATAGATTTATGCGGAAAACGAATTCTATCCACAGGATCTTTACAATCTTTCAGTGTATTTCAACTGTCGTTTATGTGTTGGGCATGATATTCATAGCAGTTCAATATCTGTCTAGGCTGAACATATTGAGGATAACACCTTAAATCTCCAGTAGTTGTTCTAACAACTTCACTAAATTATGTCAGATATCATATTATCAGAAGAAAACCTACCCAATCAATTATTTGAATGTAAAAGGCTAAAAAACCCAAAACATATTCGATTTTGTGCTTCTCCGTTTACATTTTCACCTGACTCAAATACATTTTTTCAAGAATTTAGTATTTACCCGACCTATTTGAATGTCAGCTGTTCATCTAATATAGAGATTAGTAATATTGTCAGTCTAGGTAGAAAATGCTATCCACTGCATGGAAATAATGCTCGTAACTGTTGTCGCCTATTGTGCATAAATCATAATACATCAATAATTCATGAAGATTCAAAGCAAAATTCATTCAACACGAATCCAAATAAATCAGACTATTTATATAGAAACTTATTGTAAGTATGGTTTATATTTAAATGTTTTCTCTTCTAATGTGGGGATATGCTTAAGAAAAACTGTCACGTGAGTGAAACAGAAGGCTAAGCTAAGTGTAGTTAAGAAGTTTAGTTTTTATAGCTCATTTCCACTGACTAGATTAGCTCCAGTAATTTGGCGATTTTCTTAGTGTTTCATTGAGCTGAATTCTTTTCGAAACTTCATGTGTTGATTGCACCATGTATCGGTAAATAGGAAATATCCAGTTGAACTCATACTAACGCTATAGCTATAAAGTAGTCTGTCATAATGGATTGATCCACTAACTAACTTAGCAAAGTACAACTATGGATGAAAGTTGGACAAACTATGAACCATAACAACCTAATCACTCGTTCTTGTCTTATTGAAAACCCTAGCGCGTCAGTCTGAAAGTCAGTGACTGCATGGACTGTTGTTATGTTTCATTTCTAACCTAATCATATTTTAGTTAAAATTGCCCATCTGGTGAGGTGATTGCCCGGTATGCTTGTTCTGGTCACCGCAATCTACAGGTCTCCACAATCTCACCGACTTACTTTCCGTCGCTACCTAAAGTACCGTATATAACTCAAACGGAACCACATTTGGCCAGGAAATTTTTTTCAAATGTTTTACTTTTAACTGTCGTGTGTCAGTCCACATGCACATTTGAAACCAAACAACAAGCTTGCACCAAATTACTAAACAAGCTTTTTATGTCTGTACTGGGATTTATTCAGTGTCAAGCTGACAAAACGGATTATTAAGATGAGGAAAACGTTTAATTCATTAAAAAAATAAATACAGATAGGAAGGGTAGACAATGGTAAATACTGCTGGCATATTTCAGCTACCAAAAGATGAAAATCAGTAGCGTAGAACCTGAACCCAGCTCAGCTACCCCTGAGGCGTAAAAAGCACTTTTTGCATCGAAAGTCTGAAGATAAAACGATATTATTGGCTGAACAATACATGGTTGGATCAAGACATTCCTCAACAATAAATTCTATTTGTACTGTATTCCCACTGTAAGGACAAAAGAATAAAAAACTAGGAAAAACCGAAGAAATATTTTTCCCTTCTTAGCGCTTGAGTTTGCCAGTGGTACAATGAAACTGCACGCTTTATAACTACAGTTTAATGGCATAAATTATTAATATATCAGTAGAATATGGGCGGCGTAGTATAGTGTAGTTCCAAAGTAGACTAATTTTATTGACATAAAACATAGTTGTTGTTATTTTATTTTCATTTTATTGCTTTACGTTCCTACTGGAACATAGGGTTTCAAGTTAAACCTTTGAAGTTCCACTTGCCGTGATGCTTTTTTACGGGTGAAGTTGCCTAACCTTTCCTCTTTACCGGTCTTATTGCCGGCTTAGAGAGGTTTAGGTGGGCTTCGTTCGGGGATCAAATCCTGAGGTACATGCACAGTCGGCGAGCGTTCTACCGCTGCACCACCGACGCACCATAAAATACAGTGATGCAGTGTTATTTATTTAATGATGGCTTTTTGAAAACAACTCTTTGCTATTAACCGTATCAAGGCACTTATTCATAGTGTAATGACTAACAAACTTCGGTAGACATCACTACATACTGTATACACGAAAATAGTTACTCTCCAGTTATCAACCAATGTGTATATCCAATACTACTGGAGATATTGGTAGTCTTATTGCTATCCCCTCTCACTGTCAACATAATTCTCTTTAAAACTTGAAAATAGCAGACGTCAGACATGACTGAATTAACACAGAGGTTTCCTCAGTGTGTATACTTGTTTAGTAATCTCTAGATCAACCGCAGTGACTGGTATATTGGTATGGAGACGAGGTATAGCAATACAAACCAGGTTTTGACATAAGGAAACATATGTTGCATCACATAAATTATTCTGTTGTGAAACAAAAAATCGTATCTTGACCTATAGCTTTTTTTACTAACACCAGCAGTCTTTAAACACTACTTTTCAGCTGCTGAGCAATCAGAGTTAAAGTCAGATACAACTGGTTCTAAGCAAGTCTTTTAAACTTTCGATATCTGTTAACAGTTCTATGAAACCGCCCGCCGAATATAACTGCTTCCAAGATAGTAACTACTCAACTAGTCTTTTGTATCCACGCAGAGTTTGGATCAGTAACCGGCTCATTAGGTACGATTAAGCTGGTGTAACTCCTTAAAATTGAAGTTGGTGAATATTAGTCTTGTAAAGTATTCTTACATCGAAAAGGGGCAAATCACATACCAAATACGCTCAGATGCCCGTCATGATGTCTAAAAAACTGGGCGTTTTGTCAGAATACTCACCAAAATGGAAGATAACAGTTATGCACTTGCGTTACATTCACGACCATAATATTTGTTGAGTTATACAAATGCTGCATAGTTTTCCAGTTAACAAATTATCTACTAAAATATATTGGCTGCCTAATTTACAAGGGATTTTTTTATTCCTTTACGTTCTCAGTGAAACTTAGGGCTTCAAGCTAGAGGCTTGTAGTTTCAGTAGCAGTGATACTTATTTTTATGGTATGGGGTTACTAACCTCATTCCCAATCTTCCATCCTAACCAGTCTTATTGCTGGCTTATCACGGTAAAGGAGTGCGTTGGCCTGGGATCGAACCCCAGACAACCTGAGTGGTTGGCGAGTATTCTACCACTGTGCCGCCGACGCACAATTTACTAGGGATAGTTCTCTCTTATGTGCTGTAGAAACTTACCCGATTCCATAAAAAATTCGGAAAAATCTCAAAATGAATTACATATACACAGTATGTATGGTTAGTGGCATGGTTGGCTTTCTGAAAGTCCTTCATGAAGTACTGGGTAGTGGCTGCTTTTCTTTAGCTTGGCTATTTGTTCCTTGGAGGCAATTACTGGATCTCCTTTTCCTTCTGATTATAAGAAATTAGATTTCAACAAATCACCTGTTACACACAATGGTTTTGAAAGTTACTTTGAGCCGAATAGTACTCTACATCATTTGTGCATTGAAATTAGTTACCTTTCAAGAGTTTTTAGTTTAGTTTAATGTATAAAATAAAGTGCTTCAAAATGTTAACCATTGTTTGCAGTTGCATTTTTAGTTTGCGTGTTTCTAATAGTTTGTAAAATTTAGCATTAAACTTAAGCGTATTTCTCTCTTTTTTTCCAAAATGCATTATTTGGTATTTTATCATCACTTTTACATTTTAGTAGCCTTAATTTCAGTATAAAATAACAATTGAGTAATTTTTAATTCAGTGTTTTTCACACAAAATTATCACTAATACTACTCATCCTTGCTACATTTTCTTGTCTTCTAATACAGTGGAACCAAATGTTATGTGATTAATATTTCAAGCTGAAACACAGAATAAACACTGTTTAAAGGTATAAGAATAAAACTTGGGCACTGTGGTAGAATGTAATTCCATTATGGGTAGATTTTTATTTTGATAGAGTCTCACAGTGTTATACAGTAAATATTACTGTATAACACTGTGAGACTCTATCAAAATAAAAATTTACCCATAATGGAACTGTTTAAAGGTAACTAGATATGGGTGACTGGAGATTGTCTATTATCTCTAATTAAACTAAACTTTTCCTGTTTATAAAGAATGTGTACGTTTTCTATTCTGAATGCAGTAATTGTTTCATGAATTTATTTTCTTTCTACAATGGAGATAAGATTCAATAAAGATAACGAATTACGTTCCAAAATACTTATGAACACACCTGAAACTATTGAGGATGTTAAACATCCTATTATTCCTAATCCTACGAATATTAGACATGAGTATATTTGCGATATGACATTTCTAACTGAGACTTTAGTACTGTCCACTTGATCAAAACATATGTTTAATTTGTAACTGGAACAAATTAGACTGGTTTGTCAGTATAATGGATTGCTGAATCGAAAAGTAACTATCTTTTACTCAAGAACTTGGAAATATGTTTCACCTATTAATCACATCCTCAACAGTAACTGCATGAAGACTGGTGATGAAGTGCCAACGACTAAGTATCAAAGCTTGCAGAATACCAAACAATCTCTGTTCTTAGCCAGAAGTATCAACTATCATTATTTCACAACAACACATAATTTGTTTACCCGCAGATCACTCAGCCTTAACTTAATTTCAGTATAATCAGATATTGTGGAAATTGTGGAGTTTACACAACACTATGTTGGTGATAAATATTTAGCCACCTCAGATATTAAAAAATCTCTGAAGAGATTTGTTTCACCAGGTTATATGAACCTGGAAAAAAGACACCCATCCTAATTGTGTTACCAATTTCAAACTACTAACGGTCTATCGAAAATGATGAAATATGAGCAGCAATACTGTTTATAGGTTCTTAAATTCTATTCATGAAAGTTTTTCAACCTCATCAAACGATTTTCCTTTGACAGAAGTTTTTTAACATGTTTAAATTAATTTAGTATTGTTGCAGCTATTACTGGTTTGGCTTTATCGGGTGTGGTGATTAGCCCACCGCTATCATACAATAAATCTTTAAAAATAGGTATTTCCGATTATGCTAAGTTCTTTCCGGCTTTATATTTTAGTCCTGGAAGATATTCAGTAGCCAAGATTTCTAATGGGTCCGTTGCTACTTCCGCTTGAAAGTTTCAGTCGGTCTGCAGTTATGTTCCAGTATAGTCCTTTCGCATCAACCGCTGAAATTACTTAGTTTCCATTTACTTCTACTAAAAGTTGATAACTCTCACCGCTTGCTTTCTTGCCAATCTCATACTTCTATTTCTGTGTTACTTTCAGTATGCTGATAGCTCACTTCGAAATTATTTAGAGTAGCAAAAGTCTTGATACAAAGAACATCTTCAAGCAGAAAATTACCTGCATGCAAGAATAAATATTTTATCAAGCATCAGTTACCTATATTATATAACTCCATAATGGATAAGATTTCATTTTGATAAATCACACAGTGTTGTACAGTTATATTAACTGATGACGTTTCGAGCACAAACTATTGCTCATA